CTGTTAAAACAAAAGTTACAAATGTGTTGACATGCTTGGAATTAGACCACTTTCAAAGTTTTTTGAAAAATACCTGTTTAATATCTTCACATGAAAAACTAGTGTGATCATTTGGTTTTTCATTAGAATAAAAATAATACAAATTCATTCTCAAAATTTGGAGAAAATTCTTGATTATTACTGCCAAAGATGCACAATTAGTTTATAGTAAAAGAAATTTGCATCATATTTGTCTTTGTTTCACTTTTAAACACTATCCATGTTCCAAAAATAATGGTTTTCTAAAAACATACTATGACTTCACGGCAATAGAATTACATATAAAAACAAATGTACTTTTTCTAACTCTCTACAAGCACTGGGTCTGAGTCAGCACTTCTTCAGCACTGTACGCACTCACAGTTCCGTGAGCCAGACAAGAATCAAATGCCACATCTGGATCCCTGAGCGCCTCATGTTTTGATGGAGGACTACGCTTCTTCCAATGGCAAAGCTGCCATAGTTGAATGCTTATTATGAAAGTTGGAGAGTGTCATGACACATTATTGCAGAATATCTTTTTCATTCAGGCAATTTTTCTTCCATCCCACCATAAACCCGCTTTCTCTTTGTCTCTCTCTCTCTCTCACTTGTTCTCCTACACATACATACATGATTTAAACATAAATAACTACAAAATAATGTGAATTTTGATGAAAATACATAATGTAAAATATCTTTGGCAAGAGTAATAAAAAGATACATTTATTTGTTTCCACCTAGGAAATAAATAGCTACGATGCAGTGCTCTTGTCTTTTTTAGAATTATTTCTAGTTCTACAACACAGGCTTTAGTTTTTAACTCAGTAGGATGTCTCATAAACAGCTGCTTTTCACTCCATCAAATCTAAAATAAGCAGGGTAAGTTATAGTGCCTTCCAGCAATCCTTAGCTCGATTGTCATAGATCAATACCACTATTTCTAGCCACCTTGGGCCTGAACAAAATTAGTTTAAGAGGCATTCAGGAGGCAGTTATACTGGACAAAACAGGTAATGTTGTTTATCAGAATCTCAGAACAGATTAGTGGTGTTGATTTGTTTGTGAGTACTTGTCTACTTGCCCAGAAAACACAATTAAACACTAACTCTTTTGGTTACAATGGACTGTGACTTAAATGCCTTTGTTTTTACTTTTTCAGAAATGTTTTACAGTGTTTGCAAAAACCTACTTAAGAAGATTTTCCCAGGAAATTTTTCTTTCTTTATCACTCTTTTCCCCCTCTCCCCACATTCTTGCCCCACTATATCCATGTAAGTTGGGTGGAGGTCAATCACATGTCCATTTTTACGTGTGTGGTCTAATGCTTTGCAGGGGTAAAGGCTGCCAATCTGATTTCTAACCTTGGATCCTGTTCTCTCCACACACTGGAGGCAGCTGGACGAGACAATGACACTTGCACAAATGCCAGCAACTGTTCCCACTTAGCAAAGTGATTTCTACTTTTCCCAACTCTAAATTTTAATCAAATTTTGTGGAACAGAGAAGAAAATAAAGACAGTTTCCTGCTCTTGCTATTTGGTAAGCAGAAGATTGTCACTTTTAAAAAAAAATTATTTTAATTATTGTTCAAGTACAGTTTTCTCCCTTTTACTCCCAATCCAGCCCACCCTCCCAACCCTCCCCACTTCCCTCCCATTACCACCCTCCCCCAAGTTTTTGTCCATGTGTCCTTTAAATTTGTTCCTGTGAACCCTTCTCATTGTCCCCTGAAATTCCCTCTTTTCTCCCCTGTGGTCACTGTCAGCCTGTCCTCTATTTCAGTGTCTTTGGTTATATTTTGCTTGTTTCTTTGTTTTGTTGTTTAGGTTCCTGTTAAATGTGAGATCATATGGTATTTGTCTTTCACTGCCTGGCTTATTTCTCTTAGCATAATGGTTCTCTATCCTAAGAATACTAAAACACCAATCCAAAAGAACCTATGCATCCCAATGTTCATAGAAGATTGTCACTTTTAAGTAAACATGTAATTACACCTGGTGAGCACCCAGTTATGTGGTTAAAGATGCCAAGTTGACTCAAGAGCTGATATTCCCTGAACCAGAGAGTCCCTGGGAGTCTGCAGAGTAAACTGTGCAGCATGTCTGCCACTCAGGTCACATTCCAGCATATGTGGGGTAAGGTATTTTACATTCCTTTAGAGCTCCACTGGAGACAAAAAACCTGGAAGATTTCATTGCTTTCTCCCTAGCCAATGTGTTGGCTGGCATATCTTTTTAGTAGGCCAGCAAGGCTCCCATTTGATGCATTGGAGACTGCTCACTACTAAAATAAAAAATACAATCATCCTAAATTGATAACTAGGCTCAACTGAATGTGCTGATACAGGTGAGCAGATACCCTGTTAGGATACAACCGAGGGTACCTGTTTCTCAGTGTCTGCATTGTTAAGAAGGTTTCATTCCCTGAGTGGAAGGATCCAAGCTGAAAAATATGTCCTTGCAATGACAAAATGTTAATGGGTGGTGTGTGTGGCTGAATCAGTGGGTGGCAGCCTCCCCTTCTTTATTGCTACATATATCAGAGCATTTACAGAGCACTGGTTCTCATCCAAATGTCTGTTGTCTCTGGGTCAACCAGCAGCTCATCAAAGCTCTAATTCTCAAAGATTATCATTCTGACCAAAGCTTCTGCTATAATTCTGGTGGCAAAGAAAATAGGAGAGGCTCTCTAAAAACAAACCAAACCCCATACTGTTTTACATTTCCCCAAACCAAGTAATAGCCACTTTTGCCACCCATTTGAGAATCTATTAAGTTTTGAAAAGAAAATCATTATCATGTCCTGATGTATTAAGTCATTTTTCTTTCTTTGACTTCCCTTTTTTTTCTTAGTTTTGCTCCCTTGACAGGCATTCTTTGCCCTTACTAATTCTTAAATTGTAGTTTAACTCTCTGCATTAAGATTACTAGTGATTTTTTCTACATTGTAGAATAAAAGAAGAAATCTATTCTAGATTCTGTATGCAAAAATGTAAAATTTTATATAAGGAAAAATAAAAATTTTGTGCATTTACGTTAAAAATTATTAGTCTCTATTCTAAAGCAACATTAATTAATTTGCTACTAATTTCATCATCATTCACAAGGCCTTTTTTCTCTTCTCTCTTAAGGGACCCTTCTTTGCTAAGTATCAAGTCTGCTGTTTCTTTTCATCAGAAAACTAGCTAGCTAGCTTTTGCAACTCAGTCCTTTGAGAACTGCAGAACAGAATAAAGTAGCTGGGGTAATGGAGGGGAGATTTAGACAAGGAAACAGTCAGTTCTCATTGTCTATAGTGGTTGAAGTAAATGTGGATCTCATTATGCTTGATTTCACTTATTTCCTGTCTCACTAGTTTACAAAAAGAATACTCTTCTCTTGAACAAGAGGTCTGTTATAGTCATGTAAGTAAGAAACAAACAGTCATTTGTTTAAATATCAACAGATACCTCAGTTGTTAGAAAGCTGATGAAGTTATGACTTTGGTCTATCAAGCGAAATTTAAAATTACAATATCAGTATTTCCTAGAAACTATATATTATTACAAATTTCTAATACAGAGTCCTAGAGAACAAACTCTCTTTAGCACAATTGTCATGTTTTAAAACTGATACAAGAAAATGGATTTTAATAGGGAAAATAAGTGTCTAACAAATTTAGAATCAGAAGATATACGTATAGAGAAGAGTGTGATTTTCTGCTATGAACCTAGAATTAACATTCAGTACCTCTTTTCCACCTAGCACTAGAGTTTATGGAGATCAAATGGATGGTACTAGATGTGTCTTACTAGATGTGTATTTCATGGGGAGTGGAAGAGCCTTTCAGTAGCAAAGGTTAGGAAAGCTGAGCTCCTTTTTACTCTGTGACAAACTCAGTGGATGAATTGAAGCAAGTTACCATCTTCCTTAGGACCTTAGTTTCCTCAACTGCAAAGTAGCAGTACTCCTGACTTTAGCATTTCATGCTTCTCTAACATAACTGGGTATAAGAGTGTTCTCGATAGCATAAGAAAATGGACTGTTTGTCATGAGAAGCAGGTGAAAATGTATCTTACCGGTTTGGTTAGAAAACTCACTGTTCAGCTGAGTTAACCATCCTTATGGAAAAACAATTATCTAATTTTTTTTTCTCTAATATAAGCAATATCCTTTAACACCAGCATTGTCTAGTGATGACAGTGGCTAGCCTTTTGCCTCTAGCAAGCCTCTTTAACAATGCCTTATAATTTAAATCAAGTGCCTGCTGTGACGGCTCCCAGTAAACACTGATTTGGGGGGATGGTACAAATAGTGTGGATATATGGAGTAGATCCATTCAGACTATGCTTTTGTATAGCTTTTATTTCTTTATTTTAAGAGCCTATACTATCAAAATCACCCAACTGGAATTTAAAATCATGGCATGAAAAACCATCAATCATGTAATTTTTAAACCAAAAAAAAAAAAACCTCATAAAAACTAAGGCCCAAACTTATGTGTTTTGGGGGTGTGTGTGTGTGTGTGTGTATGAAACTTTTTTTACTATTACTGGTATGTAAATTCACAGCCTTGCTTTGCATAAAGCAAGAGACCCAAGAAGATTAAAAGCTGATGAAAGAGTCTATCAGATTCTTTGGGGGGATACAAAAAGAATTTCCTTTCCTTTGTCCACTGAGTTAATTTCTTAGTATAATCTATAAAAATTGATAGTTTATTCCAAAAATGAAAGAAAAAAAGGTAGAGTTTAAAAAATGCTTATAATGATGATGATTTTTTTTTAGAGGTTCTTAAAACAGGAGCCCAAACCTCAATTTTGAGATTGTTTGTGGGACACCCAAGACTGTATATTTTGTATGTATGCCATAATATGTCTTTTTATTCATGTCCTCAAAAAGATACATTTCCTAAAAACGACTAATTGAGCACTGATCTCATCCAAATGAGAAATCCCAGAGTGAGGAGCAATTTGCCATAGTCATATCCTTAACCAGTGACACTGACAACCCCAGAACACGAACGCTCAGGGCTGTTCACACCAGTACACACTCACATAAATGTTTCTGCAACTTGCATTATATGGTGAAGAAACTCTGCCTGCTTTATTTTCTGTGAAGGGAAAGTAAACTTACAAAGATTTAAAGGACAGCATTTCAATTCTAACATTTATTGCCACTAAAATTAGTGTTTTAAGATCTGTGTGACAAGAATTAGCTAGAGAGAAAGGATCTCTCAAAACAAAACAAGGCTTTCATATACATGCACGATGAAGCAAACTACAGAAGCTATCTACAGAAGCAAAAATTACCTGTGTTAATACAATGTTTGAGCATCAGCTGGAATTTAAGATAGGTAAAGTGGCTCATCTAGAATAGCAGACCTACATACTAGGAAAGATTCCTCTTATTCTGAAAAATCTTCCATTTGGTTTACTGAAATTAGCTGTATTAATATAATCACTTAAATAAATTATGATCAAAAGAGTCAGTATTGCACATTGTCTTTACTAAGTTTCTTTTTAGTAGTCCTTCCTGTTATGTGTTTATATGAAAGCTATTTTGAATTTAGAAAGTGTTACCAAGATGTGCTGTTTATTAAATATGTTTTCAGAGCTAAATCTTCAGGAACATTGCACATTTCCCATGTCTTTTTTCTGATTAGTCTTCCTCAGAAGGGAGAAGAAAGAATTCCAAAGGAAGAAGGAAATATCTGTAAGTAATATATTTATGGGCATTCAATGCTGGATGCTTTAACAGGCTTGATTGCTATTGGTAAATCCCTGCAAAAGATGACAGTAGCATCTAATATGGTATCATGCAAATTTAAACAAGGTAACACCGATCATGCTGCTGATTTTGGCAATATGCTGTATTTCATAGCCACTGGTAGACGTCTACAAAACAAAATCACTAAGCTGAAAAAAAATGCCTTATAATTCTTAAGGTAATGAAGTGAATTAATTTTTTCCTGTGAGCCAAGACTATAATGGGCAGGGAACATGAACCATTAGGTTAACATAGAGAAATGCCAACAATGACTTTAAACTCAGCAATTCTTTCTTGAGAACCCAAACACAAAGTAGTGCAGCAATAATATGCTTGATTCTGGACTTAGAAATGAATAACTAATGAAGTACTTCATCTTTTGTAGGAAGTAAAATACAGATTTTCTGTTAGATGTGTGAGTACACTTTCAATGTCTCCAACATCTTCTGTCTGTCTGAGTGACCACAGACAGACACTGAGCTTTGGTCACAAAGTGCAAATTAAACGAAGTACCTTAAGAAGCTAAAAACTAAGACAAACTATGCTGGATACAAAAGAAAATACAAATAATAGAGATCACAATGCTGAAAAGGGAAAAAACTTATTAGTCTATATATCCCTTTATAATTTATAGTAATAATAATTCTTCATTATTATGCAACAGTAATTGATTAAATAAATTGAGGGTGAAAATGACTGATTAAATCATTGTGCTTAATGCATGCCAAGGGAGAAAAGACCTCCCTAGACTGGGGGGGGGGGAGAAATATATAAAAATAGATACTATATCAACAACTGTAAAAGATTCATTCAACATGAAGTCTACAGACATCAAATAGAGGTATTAGTATCAGTAGTGAGCAAGATTAGATATTGACACAAAGTACCCGTATCAATAGAGTCCTGTGCAGTATCTTCAAACATCTAATATATTTGCCTGGAGCTTTTCTAAATCAACTCTGTTTATACTTATGCAGAAAATGTAATCTCGGTTTCAATGAATTTTTAATTTTGTTCAATCTTGCATTTGTTCAACCAAAAACAATTTAAAGAGGACCAAGGCTATCAGCCTCACAGTGAGCAAGTGTAGCTCCTCACTGGGGAGTTCCTGAATCTGCCATAAAAATCAACAGTGCACATCTAATGGTTTTAATTCTAGCTCTGAAAAGTGAATAATCACATCAAAGGGCCTCTTTGGTTTCCAGATTAAACATGTAATGTGACCTGTCATCTGGCCACTTCTCTGCATTTCTACTTTAAATAATCATAAATAAGGAAGTCTTGCTACTCCTTGGAATGACATGGCTGTTTGAACTTCAAAGTCTTAGAAATTGCACACATTCCTTCTTTAGAGTCCTGGTTTATGGCGAAAATTCTCAGCTGAAAGACTCTTTATTGTATTCAAATCTTGTCCCATATGAGTTGCTTTGGTTACTCAGTTTATGAAGAGTCTTAGAAATTGATTTGGGTCCACAGCAAAAAACACCAACCGTTTTCCTGGGAAGGGAGAGGAAGAAAATGGAAAATCAGGTGGAAAATTTGGCAGAACATGACAAGAAGTATGCTTTATGAGCATGTGTAAGGTACTTAAGAAAGTTAATTTCTTGCTATTAAGATAATTTAAAATAATTTTGGCCCATTAAAAATAATTTTTCAATATTTTTCCAAATGTAAATGATCACCTAGAAGATATTTTATTCACCTCATCCTTTTCATACTAGAATTCAGGATAATTCAAAGAATATAACTATGCGCACATATTTACTTATTCAAAGAGTGAACAGTCTGCCTTAGCCTTTTCATTACATGACATTAGTGACACCAAAGACTAAACCCAGAGCAGCAGCTGACAGACGTCCGTCCACATTGGATCTCGTCAATGTTCTCCTACCACTGTTTTACAAACACTTTCCCCTGAAGAGGCTGTGAATTTGCATGAGTCATGATGAACATGAGAAGAGAAAGAGAAGCTATTACCATCTTGAAAGCAAAATTTTAAGTGACTAATTTACATCCACATTGAAATAAAAAGCTTATTAATTTGGATACATGTTCTTTTCCATTTATGCAAGGCAATAATTGTAACAAATGCCAAGCAGGTTTTATTATTTGCTAACATAAAATTCTAGTAGATAAATTATACATGTAGACTAAATAAATAGATTAAATAAATCCCAGAAAATGACAAATATTTTATAATAATCTTCCTCCAAGCTTGTTGATTTGTTGGAATTCTTCCTAGGATATCCAAATGATTAACAATTCATATATCTTAGACAAATTACAGTTATGTCCCCACTGTCTGAAAATAATTGGTGCTGAAAAAAAGATAGTGAATCCATTTAATTTATAACAAATACTGAAAAATGGTTTTATTAAAACATTTCATCTTGAGAAATAAATCAAAGAACTATGAAAATAAAACTTTCCTTGGCAGTTATGATTGAGTAATGAGGACTAGGTTTACCCTCTGGCATTAAAAAACTAGACAAATATATAACAAGTATTTTCAGACACTGGACAATAGGCAGAAGAGAACAGTGATCCCTGAGAAAGAGGAAAAACAAGGTGAGTCGGCAACTGTCTCTGCTTTGCCTGGAGACAAGCCACTGGCTGCTGCACTGACTAGTGGTCTCACAGAGTTGAGGGGACAAAAAATAAAATTTGTGGAGGCCAAAGCAGCTAGAATTTGCAGAGAAAAATACAGTAGGGGAGAGACATCTACAGAAAGAAGGTTTGGAGAGCTAGAGAGCAGTGACCCCAAGTCTTGGGCTGAGTACTGATTTGCTCATGTAAGAAAAAAGTCACATGAATCTCAGTAAGGAACTATCAGGGAGCAATAAGTCAAACAAAGTGCAGAGTTTACACAAGGTTGTGGATAATTCATATTCCCATAAGCCAGAATGATAAGATTTATATATAATCCATGGGCAATGGGTAGTGTTCCAGAAAGGTACCACCTTATTTGCAAAAGGTAGAGTGGATATTGGTAAAATCAGCCTGAGACTGAAGGCTGCTTTAGACCTGTACCAACAAAGCTTAAAAGCAGGTCGTGAAAAAATCAAACAAATCCAAGTAACAAAACAGGCCAGAAACAAATCCAACAATATTGAAAAGAATAAATCAAAATTTCGCATTTTACATTTAAACTTCATAATGTACAGCATTCAATAAAAAATTACCGGGGATGTATAAAGCAAGAAACTATGAACTATAACTAGGAGTCTTATGGGCTGAATTGAATCCATACACTCCCAACCCCACAATTCATAGGTTGAATCTCTAACCCCCAGTACCTGAGAATGTAGTTGTAATTGGAGATAGAACCTTTATCCATGTGATTAAGTTAAAACAAAGCTGTCCAAGCTGACTAGTGTCTTCGTAAGAAGAGGAAATGTGTATATACAAACAGACATGAGAGGCGCACATGCACAGAAAAAAGACCGTATAAAGAGGCAGTAAGAGGGTGGTCATCTGAAAGCTGAGGAGGGAGGTCTCAGGGGAAATCAACCCTGCTGGCATCTTGATCTTAGACTCCCAGCATCCAGAACATGAGAAAATACACTTCTACCGTTTAATCTACTCAGCCTGTGGGATACTGTTATAGAAGTCCCAGCAAACTAACAAAGGAGGAAGATCAGTCAATAGAAAAAGGCCCATAATGACAGAAATGATAGAATTATCAGACATGGTCATTGAAACAATGAGAAACATGCTTCATATGTTCCAAGATAAGCATCCATATGATGAAAAGAGAAAGGTTTTTAAAAGTTTACATAGAAATTCTAATGATTAAATACAATATTTAAAATGAGAAATATACTGTGAGTTAACAGAAGATTAGGTACTGAAGAAGAAAACATAAGTAAATAAATAGGAAGACAGCACTAGAACCTATCAAAATGAAAGTACACAGAAAAAAAAACAACAAAAACAAAATAAAAAATAAAGCCCCAGTGACCTATGGGACAATATCAACTAGTCTAAAATATATGTAATGGTATTCCCAACAATGACAGATGACAGAAGGGAAAAAAACATTTAAGAAATAACTGACAAAATTTTTCCCCAAATTTAATGAAAATAAACACATGCATCCAAGACCCCCACTGAACTCCAAGGACAGTACACACAAAGAAAACCATATAAGGCAACTTATAGTAAGACTCTCAAAGCCAGTGACAAAGAGAAAGACATAAAAGCAACCAGAGGGGAAAAAGACATGTTACAAAAAATTAGCAGAAGATGAAAGATGAACATGTCACAACTATGCCATTCAGAAGGTAATGAAATGATATCTTCAAAGTGCTGAAAAACAAACGGAATCATCATCTATTCTATACCAAGCAAAGTCTTTTTTTAAAAAAATTGAATTTGAAGGTGTTTGCATTTTATTTTTGGTGTACAAAACATATAGCATACATTTATTTAGCATAACCTTGTGGAGTGAGTACACAGGGAGAGGCTGGGGAAGAAGCCTTTTCTCCTCCCTGTCCACATCTGAGGACTGACTCATCAGCTGCTCTGCTGTTTTTATCTCCATATTAGTTGGGTACCACGTTTAACATTTATTAATTTTCTCCTTCAGTGGAGGCAGCAATTCTCCATCTTCTTTCTGTTCCTTAACAATGCCCAGCCCTTCAACAAGCTCCCCTATCACGTACAGCTGAGGGTAACGTGGCCTGGCAATTGGGGTATGTTTTCAATCGCTGTTGAACTTCTTCATCCTCCAATATATCAACTTTCTCATTTTCAACACCAGTACTATTCAGTATTTCCAGAATTTGTTTGCTGAATCCATATTTAGCTTCCTGTTTGTTTCCTTTCATAAAGAGCATCACAGAAGCTTTATCTGTCAGTACTTGGAGACTCTAATTTGGGAACTTTGTGGCAAATTGCATCTAGAGCTTCAGAGGCTTCCAGCTCCTTCACTATGTCAAGTGAAGTCCTGTGAGCTGCCAGTAACATAGAGCTGTGGATAGGTGGGCCATCAGGATAGGTTTTGAGGCCCTGACAAACTTCTTCATCTGAGGAGATATTAAAATTGCTAAACTGAAAATTCTGTTTGTCAAAAATTTCTACCACCTGCTTACCACCTGCTTTGGCCAACTCTGGGGCATATGCACATGTAAATGGTCAATTTTTTTAGAATTCTTGAAAAACAGAAAGGTGGGAACAGAACTAATTTCATGTTTTTCACATATTTCAGGAAGACCTTCAGCTTCCAACTTCACAAATTAAACTTGGGAGTGTTCTTTAGCTGACTGTGCCATCATGTCATTCATTGGATCACACTGTGGAGCCCATGGTACCTGAAAATGGGCCATGAGTGGGCACTTGGCTCTGAGGCACAGCAGTTCCTCCAACTGCTGGGGCTGAGCCAACCTCTACCACCACCACCGCCACTGCCCCCAACCCTCACACAGCCCAGATAGCTTTATATAGCCAAGCAAAATCTACATCAAACAAGAATAACTTTCCAAAGTGAAGGTGGAATACAAACTTTTCAAACAAAAGGTGAGAGAATTCATTGTCAACAAACTCATACTATAAAATATATTAAAGGAAGTTCTTCAGGAAGGAGAAGGAAATCAGATGGAAATTTGAATCTACCCTAAAAGAATAAAAAGGATCAAAATAGTGAATCTGTAAATAAATAGTAAGGTATATTTTGTCTTATTTTTATCTCTTAAAAAATAATTTATGCTTCAAACATTGGCCTTGGCTGGTGTAGCTCAGTGGATTGAGCAGAGGCCTGTGAACCAAAGCATCGCGGGTTTGGGCACATGCCTGGGTTACAGGCCATATCCCCAGTATGCGGTGTGCTAGAGGCAACCACACATTGATGTTTCACTCCCTCTCTTTCTCCCTCCCTTCCCCATCTCTCTAAAATAAATAAATAAAATCTTTAAAAAATAATTTATGCTTAAAACAAAAGCAGTGATAATATATTAGAAAGCTTCTAGTATATTTGGAAATAAGATGAGTAAGAACAAAAGCCAAGGAAATGCAAGGATACTGAAAGTACATGAAGTGGTACCTTCCAGTGGTAATATTTCATTGTGGTTCTGATTTGCATTTCTCTGATTAGTTATGTTGAACATTTTTATGGAACTGTTGGCATGTCTGTATGGGAAATATGTATTTGCAAATGATACCTTGGATAAAGATTTGATCTACAAAATATATAAAGAACTCAAACAACTACACTCCAGGACAACAAACAATCCAATTAAAAAATGAACAATGAACCTGAACAGACATTTCTCCAAGGAAGACATACAGATGGCCCATAGACATATGAAAAAATGCTCAACATCACTAGCCATCAGAGATACTCAAATTAAAACCACAATGAGATATCACCTGACACCTGTCAGAATGACCATCATTAATAAATCAACAAACAAGTGCTGGTAAGGATATGGAGAAAAGAGAACTTTAGAGTACTGTTGGTGGCAATGCAGACTGGTGTAGCCACTGTGGAAAACAGTATGGAATTTCCTCAAAAAGCTAAATATGGAACTGCCTCTTGACCCAGTATTCCACTGCTGGGAATATACCCTAAGAATCCTGAAACACCAATTCAAAAGAACCTATGTACTCCTATGTTGATAGCAGTGCAATTTGCAATAGCCAAGTGCTGGAAACAGCCTAAGTGCCCATGAGTAGATGAGTGAATAAAAAAGGTGTAGTACACTTTACACAATGGAATACTACACAGCAGTAAAAGGACGGAATTCTTACCTTTTGTTGACAGCATGGATGTAACTGGAAACTACTATGCTAAGTGAAATAAGCCAGTTGGTAAAAGACAAATACCATATGAGCTCACTTATAAGAGGAATCTAGTGAACAAAATAAAGTAACAAACAAAACAGAACCACAAGCATGGAAACATGGAAGAGACCGACAGTGATCAGAGAGGAGCGGGGAGGGGGATAACGGTGGAAAGTAGGGGAAGGGACTAGTTGAAGAACATGTAGGAAATGACCCATGCACATGGACAACAGTGTGGGAGCTGACTGTGGGAGCAGGATTAGGATGGGTGGATGAGGGCAAAGAGGAAAAAATTGGGACAACTGTAACAGAATAACAATAAAAAATTAAAAAAATTAAAAATAAAGCAATTTAATTTGTCTTTTCTATTTCTATCCCTATGTATTCTTTATTAATAGTTCATTTTATCGTATCTTTGAATTGCCCTTTAACCTCCCTATACATTCTTCTACCTACTCTCCTCCCCATCAATTATCACATTGTATATTTATGTATAGGAGGTTAACCAAAATAATACATCTGAAATTAACCCATCTGTTTAAATGGTACCTTTTCTACTTAATGAAGCCTTAAAATGAAACTAGACCACCTTCTTATACCACACACAAGAATAAATTCAAAATGGATTAAAGACAAATGTTAGACCCTAAAGCATAACAATTCTAGAATAAAACAAAGCTTCAAATCTTGGTTATTTCTCATAGCAGTATTTAATAGGATATATTTCTCCAGGCAAGGGAAACAAGAGAAAAAATAAACAAATGGGTCTACATCAAACTAAAAAATTTCTGCATAGCAAAGAAAACATCAACAAAATGAAAAGACAGCTCACAGAATGGGAAAACATATTTGCTGATACATCTGGTAAGGAGTTCATATACACAATTTATACAGAACGTACAAAACTCAATACCAAAAAAAGAAAAAAAAACACAGCCCAATTTAAAAAGTAGGCAAAGGAATTGAACAGACACTTTTCCAAAGAGGACATACAGATGGCCAACAGACATATGAAAAGATGCTCCACGTCACTAATCATCAGAGAAACGCAAATTAAAACCATAGTGAGATATCATCTCATACCTGTCAAAATGGCTATGATCAATAAACTAACAAACAATAAATGCTGGCAAGGATGTGGAGAAAGGGGAACACTTCTGCATGGTTGTTGGGAATGCAGATTGGGGTAGCCACTATGGAAAGCAGTATGGATATACCTCAAAAGTTAAAAAAGGATCTGCCTTTCAACCCAGAAATCCCACTTCTGGAAATATACCTGAGGGAACCCAAAACACCAATTGAAAAGAATTTATGCACGCCCATGTTCATAGCAGCGTTATTTACAATTGGTAACATTTGGAAGCAGCCCAAGCATCCATCAACAGATAAGTGATAAAATAACTATGGGACATTTACACAGTAAAATACTACTCAGCTGTAAAAAAAATTTATTTTTTGCCATTTGCAACAGTATGGATGAACCTGGAGAACATTATGCTAAGTGTAATAAGCCAGAGGAAGACAAATACCATATGATTTCACTCATATTTAGAGTATAATGAACAAACTGAACTAACAAGCAAAATAGAGACAGACCCATACATGGAGAGCAGAATGACAGCTAAGGGGAGGGAGAATTTAGGGAGTGGAGGGATTGAGCAAAAACGAAAAAGGATGCATGGACCTGAACAACAGTGTGGTGATTCTTGGGTAGTAGGGGGTGTAAAGGGGGTAAATAGTAATAAAAAATAAACATTCAGAAATAAAACAAAACAAACAAAAATGTCAATTCATTCTTTTTCAAACTATGCTACATAAAAATCCTTTCAAAATAATGCATTTCAGGTGACAGACCAGAGCAAATACAGAAAGTGAAAGTGTTGTACACAATGTGAACAGTAGGTGGTGCACATTTGCCCATCTTAAACCAGCTTGCTGTTTCAGGAAAATGAGAAACCAAATAAAAAGACAAAATCCTTCTCAACCAGGAACAGTATTACAAATGAGAATTCTTAATTAGTAACCAAAGAAACCGACAATTCTAGTCTAATTTCCTGTAAATGATCCTCTACTGTTTTGAGGCTTGATTGGAGAAAGAATGGAGAGAGGGAGAGGGAGAGGGAGAGGGAGAGGGAGAGGGAGAGGGAGAGGGAGAGGGAGAGAGAGAGAGAGAGAGAGAGAGAGAGAGAGAGAGAGAGAGAGAGAGAGAGAGAGAGAGAGAGGAAAGGAAGAAGGAAGAAACCAAAACTTTCAAAGTTTTCAGCAGTGTACTAAAAAAACTAGTATGAGAATGCTTGTCAGAGGTCAGTTAAATGTCACTAACAAGGAATGAATTGTCTGTGGTGCATAGCAAGACCCAGGTGAGTATGACAAGATGATCACATGGAAGGTGGATGATATTGGGAAAAGATGGGAAAGAAGATATCCAAACTGGGTTGACTTTTTTCTTTGTCCTATAGGTCCACTTTAACTGGGGTCCTGCATGTTACAAAGGACCTCCACTTTCTAAATAATGCTTCCCTCTTCAATCCCAAACTACGTTCTCAAGGGAAAGGAATACAGAAATAGTTTCAAACATGAAATCTGAGTTACATGAAAATATATTCCTGTTTAAATTTTGTTTCTGGGGCTCCACACCATGCTTCCCAAATCAAAACCACTGAAGGTAGAGCCAAGGGCCATGAAGAATCAGTGACTCTTTCAAGACATCTTGATCCATGAATTCATGAATTGAGATGAAAAAATCACTTCATCTCAGAAGCTGTCTCATTCATTTACAATCAAATATCATTTTATATTTATCAAATATAGTTTTTAAATTATGAATTAATCAAGTATATACTAATAATTATAATGATAACTCAATCCAGAAGAAAAAATTAACAGTAGCACTTTAGGGTCACAGGAACTTTTAAAAATTAAACCATCAATTTATGTACTTTCTTGTTGGAAAAATGTTTAGGTCAGAAACAAAAATATAATTAGTTGAAATATAAAAATATATTGAACTTTGATGAAATTTTGCAGATTAATCAGGATAGAAATGAAAGTTCAAGTAGAACAAAATAATTGTGTATAATTCCAACAGCTAATGAAAACTTGTTTGTGCATTTATAATATATGGGGTTGATACCAAAAAACTGATGTTTAGATTCCAGTAGATATGTTTAAAATAATTACATTAATTTTAAAATGCCAACATCTGCAACTGTTTAACTTTATGATGAACCTATTTCAATGCCAAATTTAAAATGTGAGAGTGGTATATGGTTTTCAAAATGCTTTTATATTTCTGTAGACTATTGCCTTGCACCATAGTAAGTTTATAGAAGGCAAATGGCTTGTCTGTTCTATGCCCTGAAGTGAATGCTTTCCTTCTTTCAGTAGCAGTCTCTTTAGATAGTAGATACACAGTCCATAATGTTAAATTACTTTAGAATTACCATTTTCAAGAAGAAAAAAGTTTAAAAATATTCCTGACTAGAGAAGACAAACAACTTCAAGTTTCAAAAATTGTATTCATTCTGGTACACCAGAAAAAAAGGTACAAAAACTGATTTTTAGGTGCATGTAATGTTAAAATTATTTGTAGAGCCCCCTTGTTTGCCAATGGGATTTTGAAAACTTTTCTAGTGATCACCTGATACATGCTTCGGGGATGAACAACACTCATTTTTATATGGGTCTATGCAAAATTAAAAGTAGGTAGAAGAGTCTCATTCATAGATAATTTATACACTATTTCTAAGCCAAATTTTAATAACTTGGCATTATACACCAGTAAAGTAGTCTCTGACTTGCTTCCTCCTTTAATAGTGATAATTGAGTGTTTAAGTGGCTTTCTAATTTGTAAACCCATTACTAATTCATCTTTAAAAACTTCACATAATAACTTGGTAATATTTCAGTTTGATCATTAACCACATGTCAAATTTTCTGAAGAATGGTACTTACCCTCTGTTAAATTTTGCTATTTCATCAAACACAAGCTTCCACTGAGGACGTCCGATATAAAGTCTTGAATTCAGTGCTTGATATTTTTCTCCAATTATTTTCTGCCACAAAGAAAGCATTATATTTTATATGATACGGAGTTGGCAAATTCCCCATTTCTCTAACATCATTTTTGCTGCTGCTGTGGCTTCCTACCAAATTGCTATGATATAAAGAATATAAGTATCAAATGGCAACCTATTAAGTATAATCAGAACATCATTTCCTTCCTCTTTTCCTTTAAAATCCATTCTCTTCTTAAATGCCATTATTACAAATGGCTGATTTGCTTCATTTTTAAACAACTGCAATGTTGAAGAATGCAGTCTAATTACCTACTCTCAAAAAGGCCTCAGTACATAAACTTCACTGCATTGTTTTTGCATTGTAAATACAGCTGTCATATTTGACAGATTATATGGGTAAGTTACTACAAATTGTAATCATAAATTTGGGGAAATGACCTCAGACAAGAAAGCCTAAGACAGAAGAGCTCCAAATCTTGGCTCTATAAACAAATAACTCCAAAGAACTGTCGTTTGTAAGGAACAGAATATGAGACCTGGAGGTAGAGTGAAGTGAGAAAAGAGAAAGTGTCTGAGTTTCAGGCCCACACACTGAGAACCAAATGCAATCTATGCTCTGAACCTTAATTACATCAATACCATGAGGAACAATGACACTGACTTGCTTCATTAGAGTAGTAAAATAAAATATATTTATATTCCAAGGGAAGAATTCTGACGAGGAAAAATAGGGTTAGATTAGTTTTAAAGTAACTGACAAGCACTCATATCTTGTATTCAAAGTTATTACAGAAAATGATGATAGAAACTATCATAAAATAAAACTTGTGAATACATTCATGCTGAGCTTCATATACTTATGTAGCTCTTCCATATTGTCTAAAATATCAGTTTCTTCATCTATAATTTGGGAATAGGAATATCCTCTACCTCATCAATCTGTTGGAATTACATGCTTATGTATATGATTGCTTAGCACAGTGTCTAGCATAGTGAATTACTAATGCATGATAGCTGTTACTATTTTTTTGTTTCCCTTGGAGATAAATAAGGTTTATTATGGATGACCTTAATTTTTCTTTCATATAAAACCTCCTCTCAGTGTTCATAGTCACAAGACTGTTTACTTATGGTCTGATCTCTCTAGGTAAAGAACTTGAGACAACAATGAAGAGGACAGAGATGAGTTCAAAAGTCTGCTCCAGCTGCCCGTGAGAAGGACAAAAAAAAAGGCAAAATATGGTCAACTTCAAGGACAAGCCCTGAGTTTTCTGGACACATTCCAAGAGGCCTTCCTGTGGGAAACCTCTTCAAACCACCTGCAGAAATTTTCTTCCAGCACAGCCCTTACAGTAAATTTCCTACTATCAAGAGGCTTGTCTAAATTATAGTAACATCCATCCACATACCTGTATCCCATCTGTTTGACTGAGGTACAGCTGGATGTTGACATAGTCTGGTCTGTTCTCTTGCCAAAACTGAGAGGACATAAAAGTAAACAGACATTAAAGTTATTTCTGTATACTCAGACTTCCTCCTATTCTAACACACATGATTCTAGAATTTGTTAAGATGTATGTTGCCTAATCACAGTCAATATCTACAAGCAAATATGTATATACATATTTTATATATGTATGTAAGTATGTATAGTGTGAAAGTAATGATTTTTAAAAAAATTATGTATTAGGATTCAAGTAGATATTTTAAAAATGCAAAAGAAGTCATTTTGCAGACAGGGAGTGATCAGTGTTTCATCGCCCTCTGGCACCATTTGCCATGAAGAGGGCACTTGGGAAGTAACTGAGAGACTCTGTCTATTGTCATGACTGCCTGAGCCAGAGATTTCTAGCAAGTTACTCAACTTCTCTTGGCTCCGGTTTCTTCACCAAGACAATGATATGGTTGAAGGATATTATCTCAAGGGTCTCTTCCAGATCTAAAATTGTACATTTTCTGACACGTGGCAACTCTGAATATTAAAATCCTCATGAAATATATATTACCTTAAAAGCAGTGAGATGATTATCAGTACCCATAATATTCTTAAAATATCATCACTAATCATATCCCATCTAATAGATGCCTCAGGTTATATCCAAATACTAAATTAATTTTAAGGCCCTTCCTGAACTGAATTGGGATTCACAAATTTTAATTGGGAAGAACTGAGGGATTTCTAGGTCCAGCAATGGGTGACATCTCATGGAATACACAATCTGTGTTGATTCTTGTTTTAAAAGCCTCCCAGGATGCTGTTCTGTGACTCCTATCTTGATAACTGATGTTTGGTGCCTGCAGTCCCCAGAAAAAACTATACAAATTTAAATAATGTTCTTAATGATTTCAATGTCTCCATTTCAACTTCTCTTTCATAGAAGATAAGTAATGAAACATACTAAAGGAACAATTTTCTTCCAGTTCAGGCAGCAAATACATGAATCACCAGTCTTGCAAATAGATAGGACTATAGTGTCGTGTACGAAGATTATGTGTTTCATTTTTATTTCTCCTGCCTGTCACTCTTTCTTGTTTTCCTCACAAATAAAAAATAACAGAATGTAACTCTTGAAAGGAATTTTACAGATCACTTATAGAAATTATAGCAATCATTTATTATATACTTTCAATATGACAGATTCTTTATTTTTTTAAGATTTTATTTATTTATTTTTAGAGAGGGGAAGGGAAGAAGACAGAGAGAGAGAGAAACATCAACGTGTAGTTGCCTCTTGTACAGGGACTTGGTCCACAACCCAGGCATGTGCCCTGACCTGGAATGGAACTCGAGACTCTTTGATTCACAGGCTGACACTCAATCTACTGAACCATGCCAGCCAGGGCTTAATATGATAGATCCTTTAGATATGTTAAAGATAAATCTCACATCAGGCTTTAAGTGCTGTTATCTTCATTTACAAATTGGAAGTGGAAATAAGGTTTATAAAGGTTAAGTGATTTATCCAAGGTCTTAGAGTCAGTATGTGGTAGAGACTCCAAATGCCTGATGTAGACCTGGTTCCTCTTTTTGATTTTCTCAATGTGATTTATAAAGGTTAAGTGACTTGAAGCAAGTCATGTAGTTAGTTATTAGCAGAGCTGGTACCAGATCGTCACCTGACATCTGCACTGCACTCTTTTCTTAACTCACCAGATTGGACAATCTGGCCAAGAAAGACCACTCAGGGTGCAACTTCTGTAATCATTTCAGAAAGTATGACATGGAGACTGAGTGGCTAGGGCAGCTAGAAAGTTATGTTCTAGGCATTCTGCAATGATGTGAAAGAACTCACTTTTGGAAGATTAAAAGATGTATATTTTCTTACTTTTAGGATAAAATATCTAAGTTTTTAGTTAAAAATAATCTTTCAAATAACTGAGAACAAAAACTTTAAATATTGATATTGTAATTATATTTAGTAATTAATGACATAAGGAAAATACAGAATGCTATCCAATATATCTTAAAGGTATGTGAATTAGCAATTCATCTCAGAAAGTGTGGACTAGTTTATTCAAAATACTAAATTTTTAATTTTTCAATTACAGTTGACATTCAATATTATTTTATATACATTTCAGGTGTACAGCCTGATGATTAGACACTAACTTAAAAATATATGCATACCCATGTTAATTTCAACATTATTTACACTAGCCAAGATATTGAAGCAACCTAAGTACTCATAGGTAGACAACTGGATAAAAAAGATGTGATAGACATATGCAATGGGAATATTAATTAGCCATAAAAATGAAATCTTACTATTTGTGACAACATTTATAAATCTAGAGGGTATTATGTTAAGTGAAATAAATAAGACAAAGAAAGACAAATGCCATACGATTTCATTTATGTGTGGAATCTAAAGAACAAAATAGATGAACAAAACAAACAGACTCACAAATTCAGAGATCAGACTAATGGAATAAATTTCTCTCATATTCTTTGATATAAATGTAAACTGTTTTAGTCTCTTCTGGGAGAGTTTTATCAGTATAACTTAAAAATTTAAGTTTAGTCACAACCTCCAACACAGAAAGTCTAGTCTCTGGCATCAGTGCAGAAAAAAATTCTCACAAATTAGAGAATGGTGATTTTGCACTTCCTGACAATATTTTTCTCCCTTAGCTTCAAAGACAGAACTCCCTTTCTGTTTTGCTACTATCTCACTCATCACTCTCACCAGTCTCTTTTGTTAGCTATTACTCATCTTTCACTCTTCTAGAAACTGCAGTATTCCAGGACTTGGCATTTTCACACACCAAGTATCCAGGGCTTGGCATTTTCATCTTTCCCAAGATGATCTATAGTTAGATCAGTCTTGTTCACATCCTTTCAGTAGCCACTTATTCCTCTCTTTATTTTCCCTCCTGATTCAGCAGGTCCCTGGAGGGTCCCAGGAAACTATTTTTTTATTGTGGTAAAAAATACATAAAATAAACTTACCATTTTAACCATGTTTAAGTATACAGTTCAGTAGCATTGAATACATTCATATGAATGGGCAACCATTAACACCATCCATCTCCAGAACTTTTTATCTTCTCAAACTGAAACTCTGTATCCATTAACCAGTAAGTCCCAATTTTCTCTCCCTCTCAGACCTGGGCAACCAGCCTTCTATGAAATTGACTGCTCTAGGTATCTCATTATTAAGTAGAATTAGGTAATAATTGTCTATCCATGTCTAAACTAATTCACTCAGCATGTTTTCAAGGTTCACCCATGTTATAACATACCACAGAATTTCATCCTTTTAAGGCTGAATAATATTCCACTGTATGTATATGCTGCATTTTCTTTACCCATTCATCCATCCATAGACATCTGCATTGTTTCCATCTTTTGGGTATTGTGAAAAATGCTGCTATGACCATTGGAGTACAAACATCTGTTCAAGACGCTGCTTTCAATTATTATGGGTGCATTTCCAGAACTCATCTCTTTTGCATAAAATCCAAAGGCCTTATGTAATCTGCCCTCCCCCCACCTGCCAAAACACACACACACACACACACACACACACACCCTCTGATTGTTTGTCCCACAATCCCCTTGCTTACTCTGATTTGCCCAACAGCTCTCTTTCATCTTCCTCCAATCTAGTACTATTGCATCAGAGCACTTGCCTATAAAGTCAGGTCTGTCTGCCTTACAAATTTCCCCCCAAGATATCTGCCTTGTTCACTTTACTGGGGTCTCTGCTCAGATACCACTTTTGGTGGGCATTTCCGATTACACAATATACATTAGTATGTCCTCCATCACTTACTATTTGCTGCTTCACCCCACTTTCTATTTCTTCTTTGTTCTAATCAGAACCAGATATCCCATTTATTCATTGGTTTATTGTCTACCTTCTCTACTTAGAATGTAAATTACATGAAATCAGAAACTTGCTTTTATTTTGATCTCCAATTTAGCTCTATGTCCTAGAACAATTTCTAATTTATATAAGGCAGTTAGTAAATATTTGGTGAGTGATAGAATGACTGACTGAGTAAATATCTGAACAAAATGGCATATATGATATTCACTGTAGTACTCTGTAATAAAAATGTAATTATCCATCATGAGGGAATGGTTCAATAAATTAGATACATTCATACTATGAAATACTGTATAGCAGTAAAAAGAATGACGTACCTCTGTATGTACCACTACCAACAATGTTCAAGACATAGTCAGAAGATGAAGAAAGCAACTTTCAGAACAATACAAGCAGTATGCTAGAATCTATAGAACACTCATGGTCACCTCTTGTTACATAGATTAGGTTGGGAAAGTAGTAAGGGAAGATTTTGCTTTATCTCAATTATTTTAAAAATTTACATCAAAGATGCAAAAAAAGATGTGTATTACTTGTACAACTTAAAAAATATATAGACATATTAATAGAGAAATAAATGGTTACAAGTAGGACAGATGAAGAATGCCTGCTTTCATCTTTGTAAGAAATAAAACAGAATTTGGGCTTTTTGAAATTCTGCACAGTATGCCAAAGGTCTTATGATGGTCCATTTGGAATATTAAAGGTGGAGATAAGAGGGAAGAGCTATTAGAACAAAAGATAGAAAGTGTAGTATCAATTGTCTGCTGATGTTTCTCTTCATCTGCCTCCCCTCACCACCCCATATGCATACATTTGCAAACATCATATATGTGTATATGTGAACATCATTAGAAAATGAATGCATTCCTATGTTAAAATATTCTATGTTAGAACACATAAATCAGCATTTCTATGTTAAAACACATAATCACAGATAATCACAGATACATAAAATCACAGACATCAATATTTAAAAATATGTGTACCAATTAACAACTGTTATCTCTGCTTTTTGAAATTTAAAGGATCTTTCCTCCTTACTATTTATCTGCATACTTTTGGATTAGTTTTTCTATAGAAAACCTTTATTACTTTAGTAATTTGAAAAACAATAATTGTTCTTAAATTTACAAACTATAAAGTTGAAAACAAACCTAATTTTACCTTATTATGCAATACACAGAGTAAGTCGGCAAACCAACGGAAGGATTGGATGTCTCTGCACACCCAGATAAAATACAGTCTTCTAAGCTTATATGGTTTCCAGTCATCCCTTTAAAATTAAAATAACACAATAGTGATTAGGATGGTAGAAAATGTTAAGAGTTCCTGTATCTTTGAAAATTTGCTTCTCATGACTAAGGAACCAACAGAAAAACCTGTCATTTACATTCAAGCATCTGACATAACCCTTACTATAACTCCCAAATGAATTTAAAACATAATGCTCTCCATGAATTCAGTGTTCATGCTTGTGAATATTATATGCATATCACTCATTTCCAGTTGAAAGCAATAAACTGAAGTCCTGGATAAGAATAATCCGAGCCCTGCCTCTCAGAAAAGAGTCCACTCCTTTCAGCGAATTCTGCCCCTCGGCAGGGATCCAGTCATCATCATTCTCACCCTGGCTTCCAGGCAAAGCAAGCCAAGATCCTTCCAGAAATTGGTTGTTTATCCCCTTCTTAACATCATTAAAGAAGGGGATTTCACAACCACCTACTATGTAATATATTCCAGTAAATCATGATTCCAAGTAGGATTCCTATTTATAATTAGGAAGTAAGCTTGATGTTAAGAAAATATTCTTTCCTTTTCTGAACTTCAATTTGGGTGCCCAAATAACTTGCAATATGTTCTCCAGAAACATAATTTCTGGCATGCAATATGATTATTTTTCTAAGAATGTACAAAAAGTCCCAAATTTATATCAAGTATCTCTGAAACTGAAATAAAATATCATTCAAACACATCCCTTCAGACTATGATTTCTTTTTTTGGTTTTCCATAAAATAGCCTTTTAATCCAAATTGTATCTTGAAGAGCAAATGTAATAGATTAGAGAAAAATTTCCTACTGTCATTTTGTTTGTGTTTTCATGACAATTAATGTTAATAAATTAATTTTTCCTTATACTCCTAGGACAAAAATAACTGAAGAAGTATTTCCTGGTTAAGCAGTCTTACCTCTGAAATTTCTATTCTTCTGTTTGTTACAAATTTGCTGAGTAAGAGAACAAGGAGTAAAGGGCTCATTTGTCATCTCCTCAGAAAAGCTCCTCCTGACGTACTTTACCTTTATCCACTTTACTGCCCTGTACCTTTATTTCTATAGCCCATGAGTACCTCTTCTCATCATAGTTTGAATATTTTCTGAAGTGATGTTACTTATGAATTTTTCACTGATTTACTTTTACCTCCCCCATTTGAATGTAAGGTTTTAGGGAGGGGGCTCAGTTTCATTCACTGTTGGATTAGCAGCATTTACCTATAAGATAGATCAACACAGTTGCTCAAAAATATTTGCTGACTGATGGATAAGTAGTGCAGTTAACATTGATGAGGAAGCAGAGAAATGAAGGCTGGTGAATAACCTTAACAGAGGACAAAGAAGGAGGAGTGTGTAAGTGTGATGCTGACATGTCTTACAGAGCATGCTGAAAGCCAAAAGCCATGTACTGAGAACCACTGAATCATTCCCTTCAATCAGGAAATGAAGTTCCTTCAATAGCAAGTAGAGGGATTTTAGAAGGAATTATTTTATACTAAAAAGGACATGTCCAAAATATTGGCAGTTCTTTATTTGGACTAACAAAATGGATCAAAATGACATACAGCAGGGTGTTGAGTATTGACGCAAATGGTGTTACTCCAATGCCTCCGGCCACACAGAGGCTAACTTCGTAGTTCAGTGATTCCTCAAATGGACTTCCAAACGGACCATCAACATACAGCCTGTGGGGAGGGAGACAAAGGTGGAAAAGATGGCAATAAATTAGAGTGATTTTCTATAACATGCAGCAGACATACTGAATCCAATTACCAGGTTTTGTGATGGTTCAGGTTTTACTTTACTGTTTCTCATAGTGGCAAGGCTAAAAAAATGAGAAAATGTTGTTTATGAACTGTCAATATTAAAATAATAAATACATCTGTTTCTAAACATGCCTTTTTAAGGGAAACATTAATTAAACATATAAGAAAGTGCATATAGGGCCGTGACAGCTATCAAGTTAAAGCTCTGATAATATTATATTACTATATTTGACTAAATTAAAATACCAACTGCTTTATTGTGTCTATATTCAATAACTAATATTATCTTTAATGGCAAAATCAGTAGCAGAAATAGTTACCAAAACATTTATTATGTGAACAGAAAAGTACTAGAAAGAAAGAAAAGTTTCTCCTCTTGCCCCAGTTAGCTTTTATTAGTATAGAAACAAATGAAGCACAATCTAAAGGAACCTGAATTACTCTACTTGTGATTATATATTCTTTTTGTGTTTTTATATTCAACTGTGTATGTATGAGTGTGTGTGAGTGAATTCCTCTTAACTGCAAAACTACTTGCCAATTGTTCACTCAATACGCATCTTCCCACTCTTTTCTAGTGACAAAACATTCCATTTTGGGAGGCAAAGTACCCAGAAAAACACTACATTTCCCAATCTCGGGAAATAGTTAACATTTCCCAAGGTTAACTATTTTGGCCACGTGACTCTGTTTTGGTTAAAGTGGTATACTTGTAAGTACAATTGGAAAAACTGGAAGGCTCATTGAAAGAAGCTGTCTCAGTTGGAAGTTGCATCTCTTTATGCCTCTCCCTTTCTTTCCTTTGTGCTGGCGCTTAAAATGTTGACTTGATGTTCTAAATACTTATCTTTTATGATTATTAATTACCATAGTTAATAATTACCATAGCCTCTAGGCTATCTACATTTAGATACTTTTATGTTAAAAAAATAAATGTATGCATATAAGGTATTGGAATTTTAAAGCTTTTTTCTATTGTAAAAAACATAACTTTGCCACCCTGGTCTGTGTGGCTCAGTTGCTTGGAGTGCTGTCCTATAAACCAAAAGGTTACAGGTTAAATTCCCAGTCAGGGCACATGCCTAGGTTGTAGGTTTGGTCCCGGTTGGGGCATGTATGAGAGGCAACTGATCAATGTTTCCCTCTCATCAATGTTTCTCTCCCTCTCTAAAATCAATAAGCATATTCTCAGTTGAGGATTAAAAAAAAGTTTGCTAAAAAATAGTAACAGTTTTAAAAAGTACATTTATGTTGTCAGTCTTATGATATACATGTCTTTTATTGTCTAGAGTGATTGCAACAGATTACTTAAGATTAGGCATCCATGAGCTTACCAGTTAAGTGTTTGGTAAATGACTGCTACATGAATTAATGAATAGATAGTCTTTTGATCTCTGAGGTCTATGGCATGTAGCTTGTGTTATATACTATTAATCATTGCTAAAATCTGGTTTCCTTTCCTCCTGGGCACACAGAAAACTACACTTCCTGAACTTTTTTTAAGTTATATTGAACCTTATGTCTAATTCTGACCAGTGGGCTGTGAGTGGCAGCAATATCTGTTACTACTGTAATGAGGCAAGGAAAACTCTTTTCCTCCCATGGGAACTAAAGCCTTGAGTTGAACCAGAAGACAAAGCCAACTAAATCCTTGACTTAGCACTTGAAGGAAGCTTCCTAGAGGGTGACTAGACTCACAGAAAACACTTCATGAACAATGAATGTGTTTTGGCACTGGCTGGAGTAGCTCAGTGGATTGAGCATGGGCTGCGAACCAAAGTGTTGCAGGTTCGATTCCCAGTCAGGATACATTCCTGGGTTGCAGGCCACGACCCCCAGCAACTGCACATTGATGTTTCTCTCTCTTTATCTCCCTCTCTTCCCTCTCTAAAAATAAATAAATAAAATCTTTAAAATAAAAGAAATGAATGTGTTTCATCACATTTTCAGGGATATTTCAAGGTTAACTAGTTACTGCAGCAAAGCTCAGACACTCACGAATACTACATGTTCAGTACCTTCTGAAGTCCTGGAAACTTACAAGACTAATGCTTTAAAAAATACCATATCTATTTAAAAAGCTACTTTCTGCACCTCAAGAAAAAATAATCAAAGTTTAGATGCTTAAGGTAGTGTTCTAAACATAGAAATTCAGAAAAAACTGAGAGATCACATACTCACAATACGCTTGATTCTTATTACATCTATTCCATCTCATACTTTAAAGCTTATTTACTCAATGAACAAAAAATATATTTAAAAGTTAATGATATAATATATTGGATTCTTGATAGAAATCTCAAAATATCAGTGGCTCAAAAACAACAGATATAAATAGATTTACCACTTTTCACTATATAAGCAAATTTGGAACCTAAACATTCAACAACAACATCAGGATTAAAAATAAATACTTCCAATTTCAAAAATAAGATTATTGTAAATCTCTACAACTATTTTGAATCCATTAGACTTAGTGCAATCTGCTCTTAATTAGTCACTCATTTCTTCATTCAACAAATGGTTTTCTGTACTTGCAATGTACCTGATACTGTTCAAAGTGTCTGGGATATAGAAGTGAACAAGATAGAAAAAAGAGTCCCTGATCTCATGGATTTTTTATTTTAATGGGAAAGGGACTAACCCATAAATAAAGATATAAAAGGATATATGATATAATGCCACATAGTGATTTTTTTTGAAATAGATAAAACAATTATTGAAGCTGGGTGATTTGGTACATAAAAACTCACTATCCTATTCTGTTTACTTTTCAATATGCTTGAAATTTTGCATAGGCTGTTTAAAGGGATTGTCAGAGGAGGCCTCTCTGTGTATGTGCCATTGAACTGAGATCTAAATCAAGTGAAGGAGCTACGTATGAAAACATCTCGAAAAAGAATCATTCCAGGAAGATGTAAAAGCATCTAAGAAAGGTAACAGGAAGTACAAACACACAAAACATTCTTGGCTTAAGTATATACGTACACAAGCTAAACCCTTCTCAGGAACTTTCAACTCATTTTCTCTGTTCAATGTCTTGTAACTGTTTATGAATTTTTCTTCGTAAGGCCTCATGCTCTTTGGACCATTGCATGCAGGTTCCTCTTCATTAACAAATATTTTAGCACCTATCCTGCATAAGGCACTCTTCAGGTGCTGGAGATAAGAGGATTGGACAAAGACAAAAGTCCCTGTCCTTGTAGAGGACTTCTTTTCTAACACGTCCTCCATTTGTATATACCTATCAAGTATCTTCTATATGCAAAGTTCTGGAGATAGAAAAGTACAACTCCTGTCCTCAGCAATTTTGGTGCTGCTCACTTCTCTACTCATGCCTGTTTCCAAAAAGGAAACACTGATACAATGACATTGTAGTTGACTAGCAAAGGATAAGAAAGAAGTCATTCATCAATTACCTTTCCTACTTGTCTGTTTTCCAGCCTGCATGCCCACACACACATCCTTCTGGTACCCCTCCATCTACTCTTCGGAGTTTCAGAATAACTTTGGGCAAGAAGACAAGAACTCAGGATTCTAGTCATTTACTGGGGTTAGAATTATTAGCATGTTACTTGTCCTCTATAAATCTGATTTCCTACATATCTAAAAGGAACAATACAATATAACACAGAAAAAGGTTGCTAAGAATTGTAGAGGGCACAATGAGAGAAATGTTTGTTTCTTACTGGCATCCATGAGCACCTACAGTCCACTGTTGGGCCATTGGAGAGGTCCAGCATTAAGATAAGACATGGGCTAATTTCAGTATGACATGAAAAATATAGATGAGAATGAGATATAATGAACCTTAGAGAATCAGCTGTTTTTTCATTGGAAATGCTTTTTTGTGCAATGTGAAATAAAATTCTAATTTTTTGAAAGAAGGGATAAAAAATGAAACTACTGATGATTGATTATTTGGCAACACCTGAGTTTTTGAGGGAAGCAGAAAGAGGAACTACTTAAATCATTTTTTACATATTTAACCTGATTAATGTGCAGAGTCCATTGCCTTTAATTTATGAGCAGTGATTTTTCTTCCTATCTTAATATCTTGTCTTTAAAAGAATGGTCTACCACTACTATCGTTATAGCTGAGACAAGACCACAGAAAGTAAAGGCAACTACTCAAAGTCTTGCAGCAACATAGTGGAGGTGAGATTAACCTGACTTATTTTTAAAGTTTCGTTAACGACTAATGAAAAGTTAGCGTGTGTGTGTGTGTGTGTGTGTGTGTGTGTGTGTGTGTGTGTGTTTTGGTACACAAATGTCTTTTATTGTATTCTTTCATTAATATCTATCCCCCTTATACCCTCTTCTACCTCTACCCACCCCCTTCCTCCTGCTATCACCTCACTGTTGTCACTGTCCATGAGCTCTTTTTCTATTTTGCTTGATCTCTTCACCCCCAACTCCCCCCGCCCAGGGCTCTCAGCCTGCTCTCTATGAGTCAGTTTGTTCATTAGATTCCACATATGAGTGAAAACATACGGTACTTGTCTTTCTCTGAATGGCTTATTTCACTTAGTATAATGTTCTCCAGGTATATCCATGCTGTTGTAAAGGGTAAAATTTTCTTCTTTTTTATAGCCACACACAGAAGAATAAACTCAAGCCCTGGCTGGCGTAGCTCAGTGGACTGAGCGCGGGCTGGGAACCAAAGTGTCCCAGGTTCGATTCCCAGCCAGGGTACATGCCTGGGTTGCAGGCCATAACCCCCAGCAACCGCACATTGATGTTTCTCTCTCTCTCTCTCTCTCTCTCTCTCTCTCTCTCTCTCTCTCTCTCTCCATCCCTTCCCTCTCTAAAATAAATAAATAAAATCTTTAAAAAAAAAAGAAGAATAAACTCAAAATGGATCAAAGACTTAAATGTTAGACTTGAAACCATAAAAATCCTACAAGAAAACATAGGCA